TACCTCCGGAAAATCACACAAAGAAAAATCAAAAAGAAATAAGTACCGGAGACACAATTTCCATAGCAGTCCGATTCTTAATCCTTCAAAACATTCGTCCGGAAGAACTTGTCACGATCTTCACAAATTCAAATGCACCCATGAGCGCTTTCCGGCGGAAGAATCTTCCGCGTCATTCGGCGGTAACGTCAGAGAAGCCTCAGAACTTAACGGGTTTTACAGAAAATCAAATCTTATTCCTTCCTTTCAGTTGTGCAAGGTTGGCAGATGTTATCTTAATCCAAAGACGTCTGAATCCGCGGGAAACGTCTTAAGTATGATCACAGAGTTTCCTCTTGAAACACGGCGTGTTCTTTCGACAGAGAAAGGCTCAATTTTAAACACTTCTGCAAATCTGTCGAGAGGGAATGCAGCCATGAAAAGCAAGTGCATAAAAGAAAAATCAGAATAAATCAATGATCAAGCAAGTTGCAAGAAAAAAAAAAATTTCAAAAACGAGTTCGCCATTCCAACATAAATTTTTAAACTAAAAATAACACTTTCTGGAAGTCGACGAATTCCCCACGTCGCCATCACCAAGAAAAAGCTTCTCACAAACGCAACGCCAAGGGAACAATTACAACTGAGACGTTGGAAATTAGAAAAAAAAACTCCAACAACGTGCAATCCGAACTTAACAAGATATTCATTTTCATTTTTGAACATCAAAATTTCCTCGTTTTCTTTTCATAGAGACTCTGTGCCTTCAATCCGTTTTCTCAGCCTTCTGCGAAACTTCGCCTGCTTCATCTTCTTCTGGCTCATCTTCATACCTACAATAAACGAATCAAGTTCAAATATGAATGAATTTTTTTGCCCGATTCACAGTCGCCGGTTTGATTTCGATTATAACTGGGATGTTGAATAAAATTTAGTGAACACTAACACGCATGCAGGATTATAAAAGCATGTACATTTTCAAACGGTGATTTCTCGGAATAAACTTAAACGATTACGAATTGAATTTGACGAGCTATATTCTGGCATGTTGGCTTCTATTTTGTGGCTTTCGCTGCACTTGGATGACTATGAAAACAACGTTAAAAGTTCAATGTAAATTGAAAACGGTTGCCAACTGATTTTTCACATTAAGACAATTGGAAATTTTGCAACACTTGTCTTTCCATAAAAACTCCTCGGGTGAAAAAAAAAAATTTAAAATTCGCTTACAAAATAAATATGAAAAAATAAAATCCGATAAGTCAATAACTGACTAACTTACAAAAACTGTTTCAATGGATGCATGACACGATCATTATCGGGAGCACAAAAACGTTGCAGTTCAATGCAAATTTACGTTTATTTTCTGATAGTTCATGCTGAAAATGGATGATTTCATGGGACTGCCAATCATACATTTGAACTCACTGGAAAAGTATATTTAAATCGCTTTTGACCCAAGCAACGAAGAGCGGTGTTCCAAGACACATTGGAACCAAGTACAGCAAAGCTGGTTGGGCGTGCTTGAACACATGCATGACGCCGATTGTCATCAGAAGTCCGACGAGGTACGCGAAAAACGTAAAGTTGAAGTAGGTGTTGCGACCCCGGTTCAGGCTCACGTCGAACCGCAGAAGCAAAGATATGAATATTCCAGGAATCACGATGTCTCCCAAACCGAGCATAGCAAAATTATTTGCTCCCATTCCATGCTCCAGGAGATCTTGCGGG